ATTCAGATCGTTCTACAGACATCCTGTGGAGAACTAACTGTAGGAAAGGAAGAGGACATTATGTTGGTATGCATGTAGCAGATAGTGAGAGCTTTGACTCTTCAATCCTGTGTCCTTAGTTACTAGGACATCTGGCAGCATAAACAATCAGTGAGTCAATTATGGACTTCATAAGGCAGAAAAAGTGTTCTTGGATCCAGTGGGATCTTTTTCCAGTGGGAACTTTTCAGTTCTATTTCACTTTGCTCTTCTGCAATGTTGAGCACAGAACTTCCTATCTCAGTGTGAAAGCAAAGATTTATAAAGGTGGCTAATGGCTCCATGGATAAAGGCAATTGCTGCCAAGCTGAGGACCTGAGTTCAATTCCCAGGACTACAAGGCCAGCAAAGAAGAAGGTTTTAGCCTCTGTTGCCCACCCCACCCTCACCCCTCCACTTCCAGTGTGTTGTCCCTCCAACAGCATGCTGATAATCTTCAGAGTCCCTGCTTGCTCTCCCAGCATTTACCACCATCAAACACAGTGTAGACCCGATCCATTAACTTTATTTGTTGCTATCTTTACTGATTCAAAATGCATTTTCTCAGAGCCGTTTTTGTCTGTGCAGCTCACTGCTGTCTGCCTTGTTTCCTAGTATGTAGAGCAGTGTCTGGTGAGTAGAAGGCAGAGAGGGGCAGAGTGGGCACAGAGAAGGGAATTAGGGTAAGAAGGGTGCTCTCTGCCCCTCCCACTCACAGCTCTCCCACCTTGGTGCCTTGACTGCACCTTTCTGCAGGTCCCTGGGCCCTAACACCCTTCTCTTTTCTACAGAGTCTCAGAGCGTTCTCCTCCATAAACTTTCAATGATTCCTAGACATCCACATCTGCTTCTCTCCCCCAACCTTTCCCTTCGTGCAATACCGTCCTGAATAACTGGTTACTACACAAAACCTTAGGGCCTAGTTGCTGTCATCCAACCTCCTCGTCTTCACTCCTACTCATTCTGCCCTGCCTTCACATTCTAATCTTCACTAGATAACTATTCTGTTAGGCAGGAGAGTGCTGCGGTGCCAGAGAGGCTTCCTATCAGAAAGACCTGGATCTCAGAACCCACCTCCTACCAGCCACCAGTGAGCCCATAATAAATGGTCAGCTGAGACAGGACAAGTTATGTAATCTTGACAAACTGTAAGTTTCTCACCTGTCACATGGGCTAGTGTGCCCTGCTTGGAGCAAGTGTTCAAGTATGTCTCAAAATCTAAGCTCTCAGGGGCTGGACAGTTAAGAGCACTTGTTGCCCCTACAGAGGACCTAGGTTTTGGACCTAGCATTCACATGGTGGCCCACACTCTTCCCTAACTCTGATTCCAGGGCATGACCTCTGTGGGCACCAGGCATGCACATGGAACACATACATTCATGCAGGGTCAGTAACTCCAGTTCCAGAGAATCCAACCCTCTTCCGGCACCAAGCACACACATAGTACACAAACATATATTCAGACAAAACACACATAAAACAAAGAAATCTTAATAAAACCTAAAAAAACAAAACAAAAAACAAACCTGTATAGTCTCAAGGTGGGGAGATGGCTCGGTGGGTAAGAGCACTTGTTCTGCAAATACAAGAACCTGAGTTTGAGCCAAGCAGTGGTGGTCCACACATTTAGTCCCAGCACTCCAGAGGCAGAGGCAGGCAGATTTCTGTGAGTTCAAGGCCAGCCTGGTCTACAAGAGCTAGTTCTAGGACAGTTTCCAAAGCCACAGAGAAACCTTGTCTCTTACAGTCACATGTCCCTGCAGTCCCAGCACTGGGAGAGCCAAGACAGGAGCTCTAAAGAGCTCAGCCAGCCTGTCTGGAAGGCTGAGCTTCTAGTTCAGTAAGGGACACTATGAGATAAAAATAGGATGACATACCTAACAGTGAATTTTGGAGCTAGGAAGTTATTTAATTAGTACTCAGCAAGAAAGAAAGACTCATCTCTGATAGCAGACTACAAAGCAAATAAGAACTCTAAATGATACAAAAACAAGAATAGAAAACCATTACAGATGACAAATTTATAGAAGAAAAAACCTTTTAGTTACTGTTTCCTAACTGAATACCAATTTAACAATTTTATTAAAACTATTCATGCTGGGGAAAAGCACACCTAGCTTTTGAAGTAAGTCATTAAAGTTTAACTGCCACACGTGGCCAACCTGGCCATTCAATTTCTTCCCTGTCTATAAAAGAAGATTCTAAAACCATTGCCAGAGCTCATTTTTAAATTAGTGATTGTCCTAGTCCCATTTCTGTTACTGTGATAAAACACTCTGACATAAAGCAAGGGTTTGTTTGGCTTAAATTTTCAGTTTACAACCCACCATTGTGGGGAGGTTGAAGCAGCAGGGGCTTGAGAGACAAGAGCAGAGAGAAAATTACTTCACAAATGCTGTCCCCTTACTTTCTCTACTTTATACATTCAGGACCCAGATCACAAAATGGTGCTGCCCACACCAGCACAACCCTTCTTACCCCAACCCAATTAAGGGGAAAAAATCAATTTGGAAAAAAAAAATTCCTCACAAGCATGTCCCCTAGCAAACATGACCCAGGCAGTCCCTCGCTGAACCTCCCTCCCCCAAATGATTCTACACTGCAGCAGGTTGACAATTAAAAGAAACAATCTCAGTCATAATATCTAATGAATTAACACATTTGTGAAATGTGAACATTGTGAAATTATGACAATACAATACTACATAACTGTGTCTACTGATATAAATTACCACAGAAGGCAACTATTACTAAAAAACAAACAAACAAAAAAAAACAGCAGTTAGACAGACAACAACAACAAAAATCACTGAACAGTCATACAGCATTACAGCCAATTTAAAAAATGTTTATTATTTTTACTTGGGATGGGTGAGCATAGGCCAAGAAATCTGTGTGGAGGTCAACAGGCCACTTTCAGGAGTTGACTCTCTCCTCCCACCATTCTGGAGAATCAATTCAGGTTGTCAGGTTTGGCAGCAGGTGTCTTTACCCACTGAGCCATCTAAACAGCCCTACAAATAATATTTGATCACACTCAATAAACAGAGTTTAAAACAGCAATCTATTTCCAGTTTTGAAATACAATGTCTTATAGATGAAAGACAACAGGTAACAAAAACAAAAACTTTGTCTATGTTAGAAACAATCATGTAAGAAAGCACTCTTTTTCCAAATAATAATTTAAGGAAATGGTTACAGTCTATATGACAATTATCAGGATACATCTTGAGATTCATATTGATCTTGCTGTGGCTTGCAGGGTATCAGTCAAGTTGTGTATACATTAGTACCTAGCAAACCTCTGTTACACTGTAGTCTACATACATCCATTTAAGATTATTCCAGAGAAGTGAATGGATGCAACAACAGTCACACAAAGTAACAAAGGAGCCCTCCTAGGAAGCAACTTCAGTAGGAAACTAGCTGGAAAGCTCTTAACCTTAAAAAGACTTATTAAGAACCCTTACCTAAACACCGCAAAAAGCAGTCTTACCTAAAATAACCAGCATGGATACACTATGAAAAATAAGGCTTAATCAAGAACAGTCTTCAAGATCATAAAAACTATAGTTATACACCCCCAAGACATGGATATTTAACAATTAATCATAAATTGAAGGAGGGCATGTTTTAAATAATAAGGGAACCATCAGGATTTTTTCATCTCAACATTCACTTAGGGATAGGATGTGTTTTGCTCACTGGATTCAGTACTCTTTCACTGGTGTGTGTGTGTGTGTGTGTGTGTGTGTGTGTGTGTGTGTGTTATATTCACAGTAGCAACCAAATGAGAGCTGCAATGAGGTTCAGAGAGTATTTTCTGAGCCAACAGCTGCTAGGGCCCTGTGACTAGGAAAAGAACTGGCTCTCATGCCCACTGTTCCGTTCCCTACCTTAGCACCTTCTACTGGATAGCTAATCACCCTGCCATTTTCAAATTTTTTAATGTCAACAACTCAAAACTCTCCAATTATTTTATTTTTCTTCTTTTTAAAGAAAAAAGGGAGTCTTTGAAAAGGAGCTGGATTGTCAGCATCTCTAATTTTACCAAATAGGTTAGTCAAAATCCAAAATAAATCCTAATAAAAATCCGTGTCATGATATCTATAACGTAAAAAGCTATGAAACGTTTAAAGACCAATGAAGATAATTCAGTTTGTTCCACCAATGACCTGTAACTTAAAAACCTTTAGGACAGGTAGCAAGTGACTGTTATAACCGTGGCAAAGCCAGAGAATTGTTTTTCCCATCTTAAAACGATAGTCAAACCTATTCATTTCCGTTTCTGTTTTTGGGCATTCTGAAGCTGAAGTTTGGCTAACACGCTATTGGTAACAATCCGGTGTCATTTCAGTTTTTAAACTTGAAACAAAAAAACATTTTTTTAAAAAAATCACTCATTTTCTAAATTCCCCTCACACAGAAAAATGAAGCACGGACTTGACAAGCTCAGTTATGGGGAAATTCCATGGACCTTCTACAATATGACACAGCCTTTCCCCTTCTGCATAACTGCTGTCAAACTGGCTCCCAACACTTAGGACAATGCCTAAAGTTGGAATCACAGAAGTCCCAGATCTAAGTGGCTGAAGGACTAGAAAAGTGAGAGGGCTCGGATGCTCTAACATTAGCACCCCGAATCTGCGGGCGGGGCACGTTCGCTAGAGCAAGACTAGTTAACCCCGCACAGTACTAGTACTGATGATGCGGGATCCACCCGCCTGGGGGCGAGCCAGGCGGCGATCTGCCCAAAGTCTCCAAAGTAAAAAGCAGCCCCAATCTTGCCCAAGAGCGCGGTGCTCGCTGGGCTACCACCGTTGGTCGACTCCCCAAGCACCTCTTGTCAAGGCGCCTGCGCCGTCCTCACGGCCTCCGCACCCCCAAACTGCCGGCCCGCAGCTGAGGCCCGGCACCCCCAAACTGCCCGCCCGCCTCTGCCGGATGGACCCCAGCGGCCGCGAGGACCTCTCGCTGACTACCTTGGTCGTCCGAATGTGCTCCATCACGGGGCGACGCCCGCAGGCAGCTGGCCTCAGGAGCGAACCATCGGGAGAGAAACCGGGCGGTGACAGCCACCGGCAGGAACTCCCTCAACCCGCCAGCGTCAGCCAGCCCGCCGGCGGCTAGCACTGCGCAGGCGTCGTCTGCGAGCGCTGTCGCCTAGAAACACTTCCGCAAACCCCAACCACCGAGGGGATCCTGGCTGCGAGCAGAACGTCTCCAACCGAGATTGGCGCTGGCAGGGTCGCACCCATGGCCGGTTGTACAGCGCCCTCTCTGGTGGAGGACTGGCATTGCCAAGGTTGACGAGGCCGACCCCTCTTCAGTCAAGACCAACAAAGCTAAGCGTCTGAGGGACTAGAAGGAATTTCTAAGTTTGAAGATGAGTCCGAACTAAAAGGAATTTGCCATTGAGAAAGTGACTGGATGTCTCTGAGCTCCATTACCATGTCAGTTTAAATCACTTGTAGAAAAACCCATTGGGCACTGGGCTGGTTTAATGAACTATTAAAATCTATTATGAATATTAGTATTAACTCTGAGTACGTTTTATATGATCTTTGTTGCCAAGTGTCAGGATATAACTTACAGGTTTGTGGATACGGCTGCTCTTTGATTTAAGATGTTAGGTGAGCCGCACGCCTTTAATTTCAGCACTTGAGAGGCAGAGGCAAGAGCATCTTTGTTAGCTGGAGGCAAGCTTGGTGTACAGAGTTCCAGGATAGCCTGGGATACACAGAGAAACTCTGTCTCAAAAAAACTACATGTTGATGATGATGATACGCTACATAAATGGCTTTTTTTTTTCTTGAAAGACATTTTTTCAGGACTGGAGTGATGGTTTATCAGTAAAGTTTGTATTGGAAACTTTCCTGTAGTTTGTTTTCCTATAAATAAGCAAAAGTGTTTGGGAATGGATAATTTGACTTCCTAACTAATAGCTGTTGTGCTCTCTTGCCATCTTCTGCAAAAGGCTCTTCAGTTAAACCAATGCTTTTAAAACTTTGCATGGCAACACCTGGGACCAGTAGCTAACCAAAACTTAACTAAAAAGTGAATGTGCAGTTAATCCAAAGGATACAGCCTGTTTCTGGCATTACTTCTCTCCAGCCCTGAACTTTGTTCATGTCAGCTAACCACTGGTGAAGGCACCTCAGCTCAGATTCCATCTACTGTATTTTATGAATTGCAGTGTTTTTACAGTTTGTGCAAAATGTTCTACTCTTATAGAAACAGCGATTTAATTACAGAGAGAAAACTTTTCATATTTTCCTGGTATCATTCCTTAGCTCATATCAAATTAGTGTAGCCTTGGTTTGAGCTGTATTAGAAACACACCTCCCTTAGTTATTAATAAGTAGTTAACATGCATGTGTACAAAATAATTGTTTAAAAGAGCAACTTTATGATGTGGTGTGTTGGGGTACCTTTAATCCCAGCACTCCAGAGGCCGAGGTAGGCAGATCTCCTTTAGTTTCACTCCACCCTCATCCACACAGTGAGACTATAAAGAACAAACAAGCAAAGATATCATCAGCAAACGTTTGACTTGAACACCTACTTTAATGTACCTGTATAACCATGGGCAAAATGTTTTTCTACTAAAAAGGAGTCATGAGAGGAAAGTTCTTAAAAAGATTTTAAAGCAGGCTATCCTTAAGCCAGAATCAATCAATTTATGTTTGATTTTGGTTTGTGTTGACTTTCTCCGTAAGTGATATTTTGAATAGTTTAAGATCTTTCACAAAAATTGACTTTTAAAGAGGGGCAACATTAAGTTAATGTTTGGCAGAAATGAGATAATTCTTAGTAAGAATCTGGCCTCATAACCAGATCTGATTGGAAGGTGGGAGCCAAATTATCATGAGCTATTTTTTAGTCCCCTAAATAATTATCAACTTATTGCCCTTTTTGTGCATGATCTAACACCCTTATATCTGTTGCATTTACTTTTAGAAAGTACAAACAAGAGCCCCAGATTCCACCAACTCAGCGTACTAACTAAAGGCTAAAGTCATCGGAGAGCAACCTGAGACTGAAGCAGAGACTAGTCTGCCATGCTGCATCCTGCCTTCCAGGTGTTTCCACCCACATAACTGCAAAATGGCTTGACTTAAAACATTCTTTGTTCTGGTACCACAAAAATTTCTTAAGATTCCTAACATGTTATAACAGGGTATTTGGGGTAACCTGGGGTAACCTTGGACACAGTCACTCATATCTGGCTCCAGATAAACTCCTATTCTCTTTGAGAGCTAGCCTTACCGCTTTAAGCTTTGATTTATATACAAGAATACCATGTTTCTAACACCTGCCCATCGACTTATATTCACCATATATAATCATCTATGACAAAAAAATGTAAAGTTCTCATTTAAAAAAATGTGTTCCTCCCATTTGTGTGTGTGTGGGGGCAGTTGGTTTTTGAGATAGGGTTCCTCTGTGTGCATCCCTGATGGCCTGGAAATCTCTCTGTAGACACCAGGCAGGCATTGAACTCAGAGATCCACCTGCCTCTGCCTCCTGTGCCACGCTGTTCTCCCCACTTTTAACATCAAGTTGAATTCCTGTTATTAATAATATTCTGACAAACTTCTTTTTATGATTAGTTTTGTGTTTATGCATATGTGTTTGTTTGTGTGAGTATACACTGCAGATACGAAGGTGGCAGAGATCAGAAGAGGGTGTGGGGTCCCTGGAACTGGAGTTACAGGAGGCTGTGAGCCTTCTGACATGCACTGGAAGCTGATCATCTGGAAGAGTTGCATATGCTCTTAACTTATAAACCATCTCTTCTGCCCTGACAAACGCCTTTCAAATAAAAACATCATTCACATAGATTCTTACATCAAAGTGCAGACATATGTACAAACCTGGCAGTGTTATATCCTGACACTTGGCAGCAAAGGCCATATAAAATGTACTCATAACCTAAGACCACAATGACAATAGGAGGTGATTGTGATAGAAGGCTGGCCTCTGAGAACAAAAGTTATTACCATCCTCATCAGGGCAGTTGTGATACCTGCAAGGGACCCTCTTGTAGAAAGAGGGGATGGAGTGTGATCAGACCCTCATGGGAGAGTCCAGCCACTGCTTTCTGGGCCCCACTTCAATCACATGTGATTCTGACCCAGTGCTGGTCTTGGCAATGCTAGAGTATAAAGTGTACAACTAGCATCCATGCTAGGGTGAGATTTCATTTCATTCATGTCGCTCAACCTTTACCCGTGACACTCATGGGTGCCCTACACTAGACTAGGGAGGAACTGTAACTTTGTCATCAGTGCTTTCTCTGAAGTGAGAAAATACTGTTCATATCCCCCACCCCACCCTATGGGGGGGGGAGTTAACACTGACGTCTTATATGCATATACAGATTTTTTTAAATCCTTTTTTAAAAGTCACTAGCTCATCATTGGGCAAGTGTCCAAATGTTGAATTTGGGAATCTTTTTTTCCCTTTTCCTTTTCTTGAATTCATCATTGTCTTGTCTCCTTTTAAAGGTACATTGCTACGTGAACATTTAAAGTTCAGTAAGTAAATGCTGTGGAGCAGTATCCTCCAAGCTCAAGAGCCAGCATCTTCATTAGGGCAGCAGCAACTGCTTGCAAGCTCATGTCCTTCCTGGAAGCAGGAAGGACTGAGGAAGATCATGGGACCATGACATTCCAGCCAGTTCCTCCTATACTTCCCAATTGATTTTGTTTGTTATATGTTTCTGCCCTAATTGCACATGGTCTTGTGTTTCCAAACACACAGGAGTATACAGTGTGTGGAAGGTTAATTGAAGGGAGGGCTTAATCTGTGCAGCTATGGGAAAGTCATATTGAGGTGAGACTTACTGGTATGAGAAGCAGCTTTGGGGTCACCAATGCTCTGTAAGTAATTTCATTTAACTCACTGGTTTGTCAAGTTAGACTTTGGTGGAATCATACTTAGGTTTGTCATTGGTATCCTGTAAGAAAGAGATAGTCATTTGTTTATGTCTCCCCAGAGAAAGAGTTTCTGAAACAGTTAAAAACAAATTAAATTAAGCTGGAGAGGTAGCTCAGCAATTAAGGGCACTGGCTGTTCTTCCAGAGGACCCTGGTTCAATTCCCAGCAACCACATGGTAACGCATAATCACTAACCATCTCAGATTCCAGTACCCACATCAAAGCCAGATGTGGTCCTGTGCATGCTGGTAAAACCAGAGCTAAGGGCAGATGAAGACAAGATTGCCTAGGTTTTGCTGACTACCAGCCTCACTGAAAAACACCTGCTTCAAGTTCAATGAGAAATTTTACCTCAAAGGAATGAGGTAAGAGTGATCATGGTGGCCGGGTGTTGGTGGCCCACGCCTTTAATCCCAGCACTTGGGAGGCAGAGTTAGGCAGATCTCTGTGAGTTCAAGGCCAGCCTTGTCTATAGAGCTAGTTTCAGGACAGGCTCCTAAACAATACAAAGAAACACTGTCTCTGAAAACAAAACAAAACAAAAAAGTGATCATGGTGGTTACCTGATGGCAGACTCTGACCTCTGTGTACACACATGAAACTACATATACCTTGTTGTCATCCTATAGACGGATATACTTCAGCAAAAACAGTGATGTGATGATGTTCTATTACATGAACAAAAAGCTAGCAATGATACAGCAAGTTCAATGTGACCAGGAAATGGTTTGTAAGTTTTGCAAGCAGAACCATGGGTGATTTTTGTAATTTCTCTAACACTATTTAAAAACAGTTTCTTTTCATGGGATGTCTGGTGAAATCTGGAGATGTTTTTGTTGTCTTGGTTGGGGGCTCCACATACTACCACTGACATCTAGTGGTTCCAAGTCAGCCTCAGTGTGTCAGAGAAGCCCACACAACAAAATCCTCCTGCCCTAGAGGACACCAATGAAGAGGGGGAGAAGGCCTCTCTCATGCTGACCAAGATTTCTGAACCCATCAGTTTCACAGTTGTAACTAGAAAAACAGTACGTTTAGGACTGGTGAGATGGCTCAGTGGGGAAAATGCTTGCAGCAAAATTCTGACTATAGGAATTCAATCCCCAGAAACTCTATACTCTATACGTGTCCTGTGGCATAACACACACACACACACACACACACACACACACACACACACACACACACACTGCTCTGAAAAGAAT